AGAGAGGAATAGAGAGAGGGAGAGAAAGGAGGGGGGGGGGGGGGGGGGGGGGTGCTGGAAACTTCACTGTGGAAAGACTAGAGTCCTGGCTGAGGCACCCTGCACTTTAGAAATGCCAATTATAAAATGTTTCAGAGAGAAACCAGGCTGTTAGTCTGGAAAAAATGCACAAAAAAAAATCATCGGATGTTAAAGAATTTCAAAACCTAAACAATCTAAAAGCAAAGGACTTAAGATATTACAAGATACACAGTGAAATAGAGAAAAGAAACAGTGGTTCCCTGGGTTGGAACCACTTATTAATATCTGACTAAATAATGAAAACGTTTCTCCTGCTTTGGTCTATTTGCCCAATGTGCACCATGACATTAGCGTTTTATCTATTCCCCCACCGGGGCTATAATATGTCTTTATTATTATTATTATTATTATTTTAATGCACATTCCAGAAAACAGGTACTAAGAAATATGCTCAATGACTTCTAAGTAATTTCTATTCATCTATATCTAGCATAACAACAGATTTTCATTCATCTGGGTTTCGACCCACCATTGGGGCCACTCTCTTCTTAGGACAAGAAACAAATGATAACTCCAAGCAACATTTTTAATCTTCTACTGTTTATGATAATCACATTAAAAATTGAGCAAACTGTTTGAAATATTTGAATAGAGGTGTTCCTCCCTCATAGAATCAGGGCTCCCCCAATGTGTCCAGCCCTATTGATATTTTCTAGAGTCGCCCCTGTAGAAGGGACCTCTTGGCACGCACTTGGGTTGACTTTGACCTTATGGTAAGTGGGGGAAAAATACGAATACCTGCAGGAGGTGATGTTATCTAATTTAAGATAATCTAACTTCAACATATAGCAAGCATATCTTAATAGGATTTTTATTGTTTTATTAAAACTCACCGAGTTCACACAGCCTGCTCATGTGGTGCGGGTTGCAGCAAACTAGGTCCGGGTTTATTTTCCCGTAGGATTCACAGCAAGACAGCCTCTTCAGCTCCGAGGAATGCCTGAGGTCCGGCCACCTGAACACTTTGTAGAGCAGCATGGGGAGAGAGTAAGACTGCTGACCCACTTTGGTGTCCACTTTGCTGGGTAGGAGCAAGCAGGGGCTCCGCGCGCCCCCCTTTGACTCCACCGCCTGCAGGAGCACCTCCAATTGTTTCTCCTTGATCTTCTTCAGCACCGAGTGGGTCAGCGCCTTCAGTTCAGCCTCCGACCCGGCGTCGTTAGACTTGGCCACCTTTGCCGCTTTTCCCATGCAGCAGCCCCCCGTGGAGCCATGCGTCCCTCTGTCCGCCTCCCCGTCGCCCTCCACGGGCGCACGGCTCCTCCAGAGTCGCCGGACGAGCCCCGATCGTTTGGTCCTAAACATGCGGGACAAGAAGAGGGTTTCCCGGCTAAAAAACGAGCATGGTGTCCGCAAATCATGAAGATTCCGGGATCCGAGTCCAGGCAGTGACAAGCAGCCTGAGAGGATACGATGGAAAAGCTGGGAGCTGGATGAGCGCAGGAAGTCTGTAGCATGCGCCAGTCTCCGTCTCCTTCTCCTGCAGACTCAGATCAGAGGGGGGAAACAGTCGGGGAGGTTTCACGGGACAGTCAGCTCGTCCCACGGGGATAAATCACCATCTCATCCGGCGTTTTAGTCTAGCAGCTCAGAAACCGAGCCGTGCGTAACCCCGATCTGCGGATCTGGTCCTTAAAAAAAAAAAAAAAAAAAAAAAAAAGCCTCTCGGTGCAGATTATTCTACAGTCAGAAATCTCTATCAGCATGGAGAGGATGCGGCTGTAGACACCGGAGATCCTGGGGCCTCATTATCCCATGAATATCAGAGCTGGATCTTTATTTCTTTATTAATCCACAAAGTCCCTGATCGGAGCGCTCACAGTGCCGCCGACGGTGTCTGCTGTCCGTAGAGGAACCAGGGAACAAATCCACGTCTGAAGCTTTCCACGGCAGAGTGGAGTTGGAAAGCCACGCAGGAAACGAGAGAGAGAGAGAGAGAGACCCCCACGGTTCACGTCCGCGCAGCGATTCTGAGAACCTATTTAAGAAAAACTCAAATATAATCCACAGTTTTTATTACTGTATATTTTTTCTTCTTCCCCCTTTGCGCGAAGTTTGAGGCTGAAATGAAGCGTCCCTCTGCAGGGCTGCTCCTCTTAGTGTCGGTGGATGGGGGTAGCAGAGGCTTCTGTGTGTATGTGTGCCTGTAAATGAGGCTGATGGTTTGGTGCCCTTCCTCCAGTCTCCAGTGCGCATTGACGCGCCCGGTCACGTGTGCGTCTAGACACCCTGTCGCTTAAAAGAAATGTGATTGTGTTGCGCAAACAACAGATCAAGTAGAGCCCAGGGCACGCACATTCACAAGCACGCGCATATATAAAAAAAATACACAATGACATAAGTTATAGGGACATATTTTTTTTTTAGTTTTAAAAAAAGTTTAAAAAAGTGAAAACAGGGGCAACAAATATATATATATATATATTCTTGCAATGTCTAGTACTTGTTCAAGATTGCAGACACTCCTCAATATGTTGGATATGGATATGTTTCCACAGGACAAAATTATTTAAGAAATTAACAAATTATCCCTATTGGAATTATCTTTATACCCATTTTATTTGCAATAATCCTTCAGTTTGTTAAATGAAGCTGTTAAATTAGACTGAGTCATCAGCTATTGTTCTGAGGAATGTAAGTATATGTTTTCAATATAAAGCCGGTAGATTGAGTTGGTTAACTTTAATGATGAGGTTGCCTTTCAGAAGTAAAGTACTTGGGCCTGTCAGTCTGAACTGAGGACAGGAAACGACCATGTTGTTACGGTCGAATCTCTGCTGCCCCCTTCTGGACATTTACCTTTCAGATGTGATGTTAAATTAACATTTTACTTGTCTGACTGCAAATGCGCATCTCTGCACACTAGATTAATGCCTTTATGGATTAAAGCTGTTTTGTTTTTGGTTTTTTAAACATTTTGTCAAATTACAATCACCTATTTTAATGTGTTTTAAGGGGATTGGATATGTATGGGCAAAGTAACATCATCACCGAAGACATAATAATGAAAAAAAAAACATTTTCAGGGAACAATATTTGAAAAATGTGGCTTGCAAAGTTTTGTAAAAGCAACTTATAACCTAACTTAATCTATGCTGATCTGAATATCAACTCTATCTGGGGTACCCTTAATGGATGCTGCCACCACTATGTCTCACACTGAGGATGTTCTTTTTTTTTATTATCACAAATTGGAATCAGATCTGACCAGACCGCCCTCTTCCACATGTTTTTCCCCTCATATGGCTTAGTAACAACTTGAAAATTGGACATCTTATGATGTTCTTTCAGTAATAACTTTCTTTTTCCACTTTTGTCATACAATACACACTAGTGTGTTGTCCTTTCAGCAGATCCTCCCACATGAGCTGTAGGCCTCTAAGGTTCCTTTCAGAAGCGGCTCTATATTATTTATCCTTATTAAAATGATAATTACTGTTTTCAACCCAGCTTTAAGCTCCTGCACAACTTCATTCCTGGCCTGTCTGATCCTTTGTCTTGAAAACCTCTGAGGCCTTTATTGAACAGCTGATTTGGGGAACTGCATGGATTTATTACAGGGTACGGAGGCAAAGATAAAATATCTATTTACTGCAGAATTAGGCATTATTTGGGGTTAATTCAACCTATTTCCAGAAATACACCATGAAGATGTTGGTTGTCACTTGACAAACAGTGAACAACTCAAAGAAAAGTCACCTTTCCCTAAAATTGTGGCCATGATTTCTGGTCAGCTTTTATTCAAATAAAAAAACATTTTATGGTAAAAGAAATGGACAAAACAGTTTGAAAAACACAGAAGAGGAAGCTGTCCCAGATCAGCTGCACATTAAAACCTTTGCTGTGCTTTGAATCTTACTAAGATGTATGAGGTGGAATCCAGCATAGCCTAAAATAACATTTGTCTCCAGTCCGTGGATGTGTCCTCTGAAGCCCAGTGAGGTCCCTCAACACAGCAGACCCTGAGAGGAGGAGGAGGTGAACTCTCCAGTATGTTAATGTGAGTCGCTGGAGGCCTTTTTTTTTGGAAGGGGGTGTTTGATGATTATGGTGGTCAGGATGAGCTGAGTTTTTTTTTTCTCGCGGGTGGGGGGACCATCCCAATGGCGCCGAGCAGGAGGAGGGGGGACAGGGCAGCATTTTTAACAGGAGTCTGGAAACAATCAGTCAGGGGGAAGAAGGTCTGTCAGAGGGACTTGTGGAAGCGACTGGCTGCCACAGTCGTATATTGTCCCCTCCCCTTCCCTCACATCTCCTCTTTCCCTTCCCTTTGTGTGTGCATGGGGCCGTTTTCCAGACTCCAGGAAGTAGCCAGTTTTATCTAACCCTTTTCCATCTCAGCTCTGCTCAGGGGTCTGTCTGCAGTCTCGCCCACAGAGAGAAGCAGGGGCTGTTTTCTATTACATGCTATATATTAGCACGCTAGTTTCACTGCATGTTTTCTTTAAAGTTACTTGAAAACAAAATCATCACTTACAGCCTGCACCCACATCCTGTCCATTCACTTTGCATGGAGGTGGGGTCAAAGGCCATATTCGTTTTAGACCAGTGATGGTGAAAATACAACGCAACTTACAGCTTCAGGGATATTTATATTTGCAAGCAGCTACAGCCCAACCACATGTTCTTTAGCAGCCATGAACAACCAGATTGATTAATTAAACTGAAAGATTCTTTGGTACAGATTGCTCTGTCCATATTAAGTCTGGGTTTATGCAAACATGAACTGAAAAGGTGTTCGCCAAGAGAGTAGCTTCTGCTTACAACTCTGCCAAGCTCACCTGGAAATTGCAGCTCCATGCGCAAACATGCTCAATGTCTTACAGAGAGTAGTCTAACAGGACAAAACATCTGCTGTTTGGGAAGAATGGTGAGATGCATGATTAGAAGAGTTGAAGAGGCAGCCTCATGCTGCAAGTCTTAAAAAGAAAAACTACACATATTCAGAATGCTTGGTTAGGCTTTTTTAAATCTATCAAATTGCCTTTCAGAGGTGGTTCTAGAGAGGACGTGGGGTGGAGTAAAACACAATTACAAGGGAAAGGAGACAATTAGTATTCTAGATAGGAGTCCTGGCCTTTGCAAAAAAATATACTAGTACAGGCACTGCTTCAGGGTCATGCATGTTCTATCTGGTTTTACTGCAAAAACTCCTGCTCTCAAAATAGGATATAGTCAGTCTATAGGGGATCGCTTTCTACTAAGATAAGAATGATGAAAATAAGACAACTTTAATTAAAAAGATAGAAGAGAGTTTTTTTTCCCACCATTTCCACATCTGATAACTTGTAAAGAAAGAGCGAGAAAACGCCCACACTGGTAAATGTCAAGACATAATTAAAAAAGAAAAGAAAAATCCTGGGGTTAAAGGCAAGAAGCTGATGTGTCTCTTTTCATTGTGTAGGAAAAATAAGAAACGTGTCTGCCATTTGTCAACAACTCCAGTGGGGAATCTACACTTATGAGAAAAAGGAGAACCTTTTGTCTAGAATTTGAATGTCATAGTGAGCAATGAATACAAGAGACACGAAAAACAAAAACCTGCAACGTTCAAAATTGGCAGTACGAAAACCTATTATCAAAAAAACACACAACAGAAACCCAGCGACAGAAACATATTGGACAACTATTGTACACATTAACTTTTTTTAGCTTTTATTTTTCTTTTTACAAAATTAGACACAAAAGGCTGATTTACACTTTTCTTAAATCCTTACAAATTACATAGTTACATACATACATAGAAGTTGTTAAAACATTTGCATTTTCTGTTATAATATTGTATTTTGTACGAATCAGAATATAACTCCCTTACTTTCACGGCTAGGTGCTTTTATGATTGTTTTGCTCCATACAAGTGCAAGCTAACAGGCTAATAAGCAGGTACTTCTCAGCATTTGAAAACTCAATATCTTAGGTTGCATATCACTGTGTGTGGTTAATTTAAAGAAATGCAAACAGAAGGTGCAATCAAATGCTTTTTCTTTTTGCCAGTAAGTTTAATTTGCATGGTAGACAAAGAGGATTTTATGGATGTATTTTGCTTTTTGTGTTCAACTTGGTTGGCAAACACAATGGCTAGCAAATCCATTGTTGGTTGTGACATCAATTCTAGATCCAACAATTCAATTCATTTCTTTTTTTTTATAAAGCATCAAATCACAACACGTCATCTCAAGGCACTTTACAATTCAACCAGATCATGTGGCCAAATTGATTCAAAGTTTTTTATCTAAGGAAAACCAGTTGATTGCATCGACTCATTGACTCAAAGGCAATCCCTCACACCAAGCATGCTTGTAGCGACAGTGGAGAGGAAAAAATCCCTTCCAACAGCAAGAAACCTCCAGTAGAACCAGACTCAGTGTGTGCAGCCATTAGCCGAGGCCGACTGGGGTTCAAGGAGACCGAATCAGACATACAGAAAGAAGCAGAGACACAAAAGGGTCTCTATGTCCTCCAACAGTC